ATTAAAGCCAAAGTATCATAGAATGGAGTCAAAGTAGTGAGTCCATTGATGTTATAAGCTGCATTTTGACACAAAAGCCTTTTAACTTCCTGAAGAAAGCACCTTTCTATCTGAAATGTCTAGAGCTTTTTCTCAGATAAGAATGTAAGAATGGTCATATTAGGTCAAACCAATGGTCCATCTAGTGCAGTATCCTGTCTACTGACAGTGGCCACTGCCATATGCTTCAGAATGAACAGAACAGGGCAATTACTGAATGATCCATCCCCTGTCATCCAGTCCCAGCTTCTGGCATTCAGAGGCATAGGGACACCCAGAGCATGGGGTTGCCTCCCTGACCATCTTGGCAAATAGCCATTGATGGATGTATCCTCCATAATGGTGAGGACAAAATTTGGGGGAGGGGAGGGGAAGTTTCAGGTTAATTAGACGTGCTGTTTCTGAGTTATGAGACTGAAAATTTGTGGGTTTTTACTTTTTGAGAAGCATATCTCGAAATGGTTTATTCTAAACACTTCAGATTCATTTTCTATCTATATTTATCCTCCATCAGTACTAATGCGCTGGACTCTTTAATAATGCTGGGTGGAATGCCGGAGATAATTAGGAGAGAAAATATAGAAAATCTGGTCCAATATGCCATTTTAGGGATGCTAAAGCGAGCCATTATTTATTCTTTGTTCTTTTGTTTCACATTCCTAGACCAACCAACATCCTTGTATTGCACATAAATCCCAAAGGGAAATCCTGACCCACTGAAGCCTGAGTTTTTTTCTTAATTTCTTAAAATAAGCCATGGCAGGATGTGCATTAGTGTAGCAGTAAACTCTGAGCAGACGCATACAAGAATAGCAATAAGCTATGATAGGGAGTGACATCCTCACCTGCACTCTGACCCCTTTATACCACATAAAAGGGCTGGGCTGGTGTAAAGGTGCACCAAAAGCCCCATTTGTAGCTGGGGGAGGATTCTCCCACCACAAGCACTGTGGAAGACAGCCATTCGACTGCCTTTTGAAGACCCTTTTGCAAGCCCTAGTGTAGGGGGAATGGTGATGGGGGTGGGCTTTGGAGATGGAGTAATTATTCTGGATAATTTTATTCTGGAACAGAGTGTCCACACAGGGGAATTATACCCAGTAAGCTCTTTGAGGAGGGAACCGTCTTTTTGTTCTGTTTATACAGCACCTAGCACAACTGGGTCATGGTCCATGACTAGAGCTCATAGGCACTATTGTAATACAAATAATAATAAATTCACTATTATACAACAGTTATTCTGCTATAGCTATGCTGGTCAAATTCCCTGTGCAGACTAGTCTTCAGTTACACCAGGGGCCCCGGAGCAGCCCAAGTTGTGGAAGACCGTCTTCCCTCACAACCTCCCCCTGCCCCATGCACCACAAGGGTAGGAATTCTGTGCTGCTCCTTTTAGAGGCGCAACATGGGATTTCACCTAGTGTGTGCATCAGTACAGCAGTAACCCATGACAGACTGTGCACTGCTGGACTATTGGTATATTGCAACATGGGTATATCTCAGTGTTTCTCAAACTGGGGTCCCTCTAGGGCAGTGGTCTCCAAAGTGGGGTGCGCAAGAGGATCCTTCAGGGTGCATGGCAGGAGGAGCGCCGCTGGAGCAGCGCCGCTTTGGCAGTTCGGACGGGTTTTTTTTTTTTGCTTCAGCAGTTCGGGCTTTTTTGTTGTTGCTTGGGGCGGCAAAAATGGTAGAGCCGGCTCTGCGGCGCAGCAGGGGGGGCGTGCTCAAAAATTTTTTATTGATAGGGGTGCGCGATCAAAAGTTCGGAGACCACTGCTCTAGGGGGTTCATGGGCCCCTCTGATCAACTCCTCCCCCTCCCTCCCTCAACTCTTCCCCCTCCCTCCTACCGCCTCCTGCACACCCGGGGAACAGCTCTTCCGCGGTGTGCAGGACGCACTGGGAGGGAGGGGGAGAAGCGGGGATGGGGCATGCTCGGGGGAGGGGGTGGAAAGAGGAGGGGAAGAGGAGGAGCAGGGGTGGAGCGGGGACAGAAAGAGGTGGGGTAGGTGTAGGGCCTTGGGGGAAGGGGTGGAGCGGGGGCGGGGCCTGGAGCTGGGCAGAGGACTTGGGGGGGGGTCCGCGAAAAATTTTAAATCAAAATGAGGGTCCTCGGGTTGCTGAAGTTTGATAACTGGTGGTATATCTCATGCCTTTAGCCACCTGAAAAGCATACCCATCGCCTATTAGGATGCACATGCTAGAGTGGTTTATTGCTATTTTGCATTTCATTTTTTAACAAAACATTGACAAAACAGTTTATGGGCTTCTACTAGCATGTAGTGAAAAACAGTCCCTATGAAAAGATAAGCGAAAGTAATAAGGAAGGGTTACGCATACCTTCTCTCTACTGTTTTAACTAGATAGGTTGTTTATTTTTTTTCAACCCCTTTCTTTTTTTTCAGGTTCCTTGGGTTACTTGGGCCCCTTCTTCCCAAATGCAATACCCCCTGAAGCTCCGTTGCCCCTTCTGCAGCACTTTGTTGCCCAGAAGCCAGCTTCAACTCATTTTCTTTTATAAAAGTTAACTACAGAATATGGAACCAGCCCCTGTTTGGCTTTTACAGTAGACAGTGAGATCAAAGGTCTGAAAGAGCCACAAACTGATACCTGGTATTTGATGGGGAGGGGAAGACAGTTTGAAACGATCACTTTTTCTCCTTCCCCACCCCAGCTACCTCACTTCAGCCCCAACCCCAAATGGTGTCTTAATATCTCTGTGCGTCCCTTCCCCCGTAACACAATGGGCATAGTGATTTTCTCGGCCCGATCCAGCATCCATCAAAGTCATTAACTCCTACTGACTTCAATGGGCATCGGATCAGATTCTCTGTGTAGTTCATGAGGAGGTGCCAGCTGTGCACCACTGGCCAATCAGAATGTTTATTTGACCTCTGCCCCATCCAGGCTGGGGTGCTTGTTGGGTGAGCTGTTATAACCACTAGCACTGGGGAAATGCAGCTTACGTTGCCAGCCAAGCTCTTGCAGGGGAGAAATGGCCTTTAGATCAGTGTTTAAGATGAGTTTAATTTAGGGACCTGAGTAAAGGCTCCCAGTTGAGTTTCTAAAGAATAATAAAGAGGCAAGGAGTGGAGTGGCAGGAGGAATAGGTAGGCAGAAGGAGAAAGAAGAATTTTATTTTGGGAGTCTAGAAAGATAATATGGATTTTTCACTCAAAGAGCAGTTAGGTAAATTGGCAAACCTTCTAAGTCTCACTTGTCTTAGGGCTGTATTTTTGTAAAAGTCATATGTATGTCTTATCGTTAGTTCTTAACAGAGAAGCTTTCACCATTTTCAAAAGCACTAAAATGATCTTAGGCCTGGTTTACACTTCATTTTGCTGGCATAACTATGTCAGTTAGGAGTTTGAATGAAAAAAATCACACCCCAACCAATATGCTAGCTAAGGCGCTAACATAGTTGCAGTTATTTTGGCAAAAAAGCCCCTTTGCTGGTATAATTTATTTCATTTGGGGAACTGGTATAAACTATACTGGCTAAAAAGCATTCTTTTGCCAGTAAAAGCTCCATTCACTCAGGGAGGGTTTGCCAATATAGCTGTACTGTATAACTGTACTGGCAAATCCTTTCTAGTGTAGACAAAGCCTTACACTGGTATACTGCATCTACCCTAGGGCTTTTACCAGCATATCTATGTCGGTAAAAGAATCAGACCCCCTAAATGACATGTAGCTATGACAGTAATACATTAAGTGTAGACCAAGCCTTAGCAGTAGGACTTTTCTTACACTACCTGTGGCAAAGAACTGTGACTTGGCATGATATATTATCTTAGACCCTGATCCTGCAAACATTTAAGCAGATGCTTAACATTATGCTTGTGAGTAATTATGGGATTCTGCAGGCACAGGGGTCCACCCATGTGTATGATCGCACAGGACTGGGACTCTAAGGGAATGATTTTCCTTTTGGTGGTGCTCCTGGATTGAGAGGAGCCTCTGCACTTGGGCCAGAAATATCAGCCATAGTCTTTTGATCCATTAGCAGTATAATACTACAGTATTTTTACAATTTTTTTATCATTTTTCAACTAAGCTTGTGCTCTGGTTATAGAAATCCTTCTTTCTTCCTTGCACAGAAACTCTAGGGAAATCAGAGTTTCCGTGAGATTGACGTTTCAGACACAACCTTACCAGCAGCACACTACAGTAAAAAGGGAAAGGCCGTTTCTCTAAGCCTTTTCTCAGAAACACCTTTCTGCCATCTCTCACTTCTCCTGTCTCAAAAACAAACCCCGTGTTGTTTTGGAAACCTGAAACAAAAATGACTCAGACTGAGTCTGACTCATACACAGTGGAGCTACTGCTTCTTCTGCAGCTGCCAAGTCACCTCTGGGAAGAAATACACAGGGTTTCCCTATAGCACACAGCGAATCTGGTGGATTGAACCAATAGGGGGTGGTTTGCTATAATCGCACCAAAGTAGGTAAAAATGAGGGTTCCTTCCCACATCTTTTCGCTGTTGATCCTCCTCCTCCTCCGCTTCCCCCACCTCTCTCCTCCCCTTCTCTCCTTGCCTCACACTCCCTGCTCGCCTCACCCCCTGCCTGCTTCCCCCCTACCTCCCCCTCCCACCCCTGCCTCCCCCCTCCCCTGCCTTCCCCTCCCACCCCTGCCTCCCCTCCCACCTCTGCCTTCCCCTTCCCTGCCTGCCTCCCCCTCCTCTGCCTCCCATCAGTCCCATCTCTGCTTCCACCCTGCCTCCCCCCACGTCATGCCTCCTCCCCCATCGTCTCTCTCTCCTCAGTCCCTGCCGGCCTCTGCCTCACCTGGGGGCACGTAGCCCCCTCCAACGGCCCTGCCATTGGCTGGCGGGCACGTGAGCCCACCTGGCAGCGCCCTGTCTGATTGGCAGCCCGCCGGCCCCTCCTCCCTACATAAGGGCCCCGCCCCAGGGCGGTGGAAATCAGAGCGCGGCGCAGAGCGGGTTGCGTTCGAGCGCTGCCAGCAGGGCTTCCCCCCCCATAGCAACCGTTTCCTCCAGGCACGGCGGCGTGACGTCGGCAGCGCTTCCGCCCGGCTCGCGCCTCTCTCTCGCTCCTTCCTGTTCCCGCGCCTCGCCCAGCAGCAGCACCACCGAGTGAGGCAGCCGCTCCCCGGACTCCGAGCCCCGCCAGCCCCGCCGAGACCATGGTGAGAATCCGGGCAGCGCCCGCCGGGGGACCCGGGCTGTGCACTGGCTACCCACCCTCCTCAGGAGCGACAGCACCGTCCGCCGTATCCCGGCCCCTTCCATCGCTTCTTCCCACCTTTCCCCCCCCCACCCGCCGATGGTACCGCCCGCCACGGAGCCTGGGGCGATGGAGCCTTCCGCTCCCTGGCTCGGCGACCCCCTCCTCAGCCGATGGTACCTCCCTCCCCCCTTTATACGCGCTGGCGCCGGCGCATCCATCGCGGCCGGCGGGGGGTGGGGGGCGCGCGCAGCGTCACCTCCCTGCCGCTCCGCGTGGCTCCTCAGGCTTCCATCCTCCCCTCGTCGTAGGGCGTGTCCCCTCCGAGGCGCTGCGGGTGGGCCCTGCCCTTCCCGCCCGGCCGTGAGGGGCGGGGAGCTGGCGGGCGCCCCCGGGGGTGAGGCGGAGCGGCGGCCCGGCCCAGCCCGCTCCCCCGGCGCAGCCCTGCGCCAACCCCCCCCACCCTCTCCCCGTTGGTTGTGGCTGGGTACTGGGGGGGGCAGAGAGGGCGGCGGCCTGGAAGAGGAGAGGCGGGGGGTGCTGGGGGAAGAGGGAGCCGGAGGTGTGAATGCCCCCCCCACACACACACACACACCCGCGCGCGCTTCTCCCGGGCCAGCGCGATGGCTCCCCTGTGCGGACGGGACCTGCCCCGGCAGCACGTGGGGACGCGGCTGGAGCCGTTCCCGGGGTGGGGGGAGGGGAGATGTTCACCCTTCGGTTGGTGGCGGCAGGCTCGCTGGTGCCCCGGGATCGCTGGGTCGGTGTCTGTGCCCCGGGCACCTCGCTGCGGGGACACTGACTCCAGGCTAACACCTGGTGGGTAAGGCGTTGGCACGGGTCGTTTGCGCATTGACAGCTGGGACGTCTCCAGTCCCTCTCAGACAATGGCTGACTTGGGAGGAATCCAGGGGCTTATTTGCTTTCAGCCGTCTACTCCTGTACATGTGAACACTTGACTTCGGGGGTTGGTTTTCCCGTGAGCGTAACGTTCATTGCCCCATGTTAAACTTATACAACTTAATTTTGAAATTCTTAAACTCTGTAGGCAAAAATCTAATCACCTGTTATGGGCGGGGGGGGGGGGGGGTTAATGAATACCCTACTTGTCAGGTTTAAAAAAAAAAAAACCCTTTGCTCCCCATGTAATTAGCTATGCAGCATTTAAGAAGGAATTAAACTTTAAAAAGTTTCTAGGCTGTGACTCTCCTAATGCTAGTAGACTCCAACTGAAAAGACTAGTTGGAGAGACATTACATGTTGGGATGATAACTTGTACTGAGGCCTTGATTTGCTGCTTCAGCTGAATATAGGTTCAGTTTACAGTTCACTATGAAACTTGATCTGGTTGAAATCTTTTTTTAAAGAAAACTAGCATCTAGCTACAAAAGGACTTCTTCAGAGGTCATCCGAAAGAATGCTTGACTGTGTTTAACCAGGCAGTCTCTAGTCTGTAACTTATTAAACCTATTTAAAGAGCATTCTTCCTCAAAGCTGTTTCTGTTCTCATTTGAGATTATAGTGAAGTTAGAAAGCTGTATGCATGTTGTGTTGTCATAGAAATGACTGTCTCAAAACCAGAACTATGACTCACCAGAGAATGTGATCTCACATCTCTATCTGACTACTAACACTTCTCTCTATTAATTATTACTGTGTGTTCCAGTATACTGGGTGGGGTGATCAAGCCTCTTTGATTCTAATTAATCAGTTTTGTTGTCTGAAATCAACTTTTAATAGCCAGTAGAAGAGTGAGAGGTAAATCAACTTTACTATAGTAAACTCTCAAGCATAACCTCTTTAATGCTGCCACTCCATTGAAACTTCAAGGCTGTTAACTGATGTACCTACTAGACAAAGATTGTATTGCCATACTTTGTTGGTCTGTGTAGTGCAGCTTTACGGTGAAGTGCTGAAAATAAAAATTGAAGTAAATATAGAAATGTGCTGAATAGACATTGACTTGCTGCTTCTCTCCCTGTCCTTAATCTGCTATAGGAGTAACTTTCATAAATCAGAAAGGGTTTTCTGTGAGTGGGACAGGGGAGAGTTGGCATTAGCTTTGGGCTTAGTTCAGTTTCTATTAGCTTTGCTGTTCACCTTTATGGCTTTGTCTGCAGTAGAGCTTGAGGTGCTACCGGGCCACAAACTAATGAGGTTTACAACTACGTTGTTAGCTACTCTGTTGATAAATGCTACCTTAGGCTGAGCCTAGGATAAACTACAAACACTTGTCCTGGAACAATATTTGAATTGTCTAGATTAGTATTTACAAATGTTAGCTAATTTGAGTCTGTTCCTAATTTACACTCATTGAAAACAGGGCTACAAAGCTTATAATAGTAGCTTTCCAAACACTTTCCATCTATATAGCTAATAAAATACTGACCTGCTTTGTGCACGGCCTGTTGGTGGAGTGTACTACTGTCCCTTCACTGCCTCGTGTAAAAACAGGTTACAGAGGAAATCTTTGTCTAGAACAGCACCTACAAGATAGGATCTTGCTAATGGGAGTACTGTAGGAAGGAACTAAAATTCTGACAGTTGCTTTCAGAAACTAATGAATTAATCTTTTCAGTCCATTTTAAGAATGTGTAGTTCTCACTTGAACTAAACTTGATATTAAACATTGAGGTTTCCTTAAAGGCTCTTGTTGGCTCTTGTTCTTTGTGGAAAATGCTGAAACTGGCTTGTTCAATCAAGTCTATACCTGTACTGCAGCATGGAAAATCCAGTTTAGAATTACTGTATTTGATGAAAAAAGAACAGGAGTACTTGTGGCACCTTAGAGACTAACAAATTTATGCATCCGAAGAAGTGGGTTGTAGCCCACGAAAGCTTATGCTCTAATAAATTTGTTAGTCTCTAAGGTGCCACAAGTACTCCTGTTCTTTTTGCGGATACAGACTAACACGGCTGCTACTCTGAAACCTGTATTTGATGAAGATCTTGAAACTTATTGTCGCTGTACAAGCTTAATGTTTGCTTCTAACATAGCAATGTATGATTGAGAGGAGTTATAAGGTCCCAAAATCTTTCATGAGAAATTAGTTTTTGTGATGGTGGCCTCCATGTTGGAGCAAGGTCCAATTTAAAGATGCCTCCAACAAAAGACAAACATTCTTTAAGACTGTAGTGCTCCTATTGTAGAGCACTGGGTTGTCCTCCTGTGTGGATTACTGCACTTTACAAGATCTGTTCTCAGCTCATAAACATATGCGTTTGACTAATGACCTCTAGAAACTTTCTCACTCTTGAAACAGCCTTCAGAATACCTTGGTGTATTTTTTGCAAAGGCGTTGGCTAATATTTCTTAAAGCCTATAATCCCTATAACTAGGCTTGGCAAGATTAGACTTTTATTAGTAAATGTTGATAAACATTAATTTTGCCATACCTAGAAATGGGCAAAAATACTTCCATTGATTGAAATCTACATATAAGCAAAGTGAGAAATGCTTCTCAAACTTGGTTTGATTTAGGAATATTTTTTTTATGTGATTTTGTGTTAACAGCAATAAAGCCTACTTTTTTAATCTCAACTCGGGTGACCAGATGTCCCGGTTTTATAGGGACAGTCCCGATTTTTGGGTCTTTTTCTTATATAGGCTCCTATTACCCTGCACCCCGTCCCGATTTTTCACACTTGCTGTCTGGACACCCTAATCTCAACATCTGCCATAATTAATTCTGAGCCCCATGATTTCCCACAACTATGTTTATAAAAAAAAATTAAATCAACAATGGCTTTTAAATAAACATAATTCTGCCAAGATTACCTTATAGACTTTGTGGGCTACCTTGTGATATACTGACAACATGTGTGATAGGAAGCTTTTGACCAGCTGTGTTTTGGGACTGGGCATGCACTCCAGAGTATCGCCATTCTTTGACAAGCTCCCACGGGAAGCTGGGGCTTACTTGAGAGGCAACTGGTAGCCAGAACTTTGCTCCAAGCAGCCCTGGATGTCTCTGATACAGCAGTCTTGTCTCTTTCTACAGCTATCGCCATGAAAAGGGCATCCTCATTACAATACTCAAGGATTCAGAGAAATTCAAATAACTGAAAAGGGGAGACCTTTAAAGGACCATATCTTTTATGCCCTTCAGATGCGTTGTTACATGCCCTAAAGGTTTCTAGGGTCACCATACCAGGGACAGTTCAGACAGAACTTCCTCATGAGCAATAGAGGCCTGCTGACTAACCTATGGTGAAGCCTAACTTCTGTAAAAGAGCCCTAAATCATTCTTCTCCCAGCACCCTGCATCCTCATGTACTCCAACAGCATTCTTCTCTACACCCCATTTTTGGGTGCCACAATTCTCATTTTTCTCTGGCAGGGGCTGGGATTACTTCACACCAGTGGGTACTGGAGATATGCCATACAATCTCTGACCACCTTCAGGGACTGACCTCATGATCCAACTGATGGAAGTGGATTCCTTCAGCTAGGAGTGATGGAGTAGCTCCAGGAATTCAGAGGGAAGGGTTTCTATTCCAGCTATTTCCTAATCTTCCTCTGCCTTTGTCTAGCTAGTAAGATCTCTTATTGGTAGACAAGGCTGGATGGAGACTTGACTCTGGTTTGGAAAGAGACTAGGTTAATACAGAGTGACTTATTCAATAGGCAAATCATGCCAGCCAGGCTAGGATATGATGTACAGAAAAACTTTGTACTTTTTGCTGCTTTATGATTTGTAAATAATGGTCTCTCTCTCACTTAACGGCAGTTACCTTAAATGTGATATGCAAGCAATCATATCTTAAGTACCCTTTTGCAGAAATTTAGACTTCCTGGACTGTGTAGGAATAGTTGTCTGAGGTACAGCTGCCTGTCTGAGGTCCTGCCTATACCACAACTTAGAGTTTATAACTAGTTACTTACCATATTGTGTACAGACTTTTGTCACTATTTAATCATGTTCTAACCTGTCAAGGGCCTGGCTTGATGCAAGGTAGTCT